AAAGCTAAATCCAGGAACTTGTATATTTGTTAGAAGCAAAGAAATTATGTTACCATATGATTCTTACCAAGATTTGATATATCAGCTTTGGTATTAATACTATATCTGAGCCTATCTGAAGCCATTACTTGCTATTGCAACAGAAATATTTAACAATAACTGATGCCCCATCACTGATAAACATGATGTCTGAGTTTCAGCAATATGCCAGCAACTGACTTGGCCTACGTTTAAAAACCTCACAGAGGATTCAATAAAACATATAATGTGGAAGAGAAGGCTTACCAATTATATAGGATTATTTCGGAGAAACTGGCACTGCTTAATGAAACAAAACATGGCCTTTTGGAGATATTTTATTTAGTGGTATTTTTTGGAGATATTTCATTCAGTGTTAACTTCAGTGATTTTGGATGAACTTTTACAATGACAGAAAATAACACAGCCTATTATACAATGGGAATAGCACAAATAATTAACAGGCAACCAAGCATTTCAGATCACCACTAAGACTGCCAAGGGAGGGAAAGGAAGATATATTAAAAACTCATGCAATGTTAGTCAATAATAAAAACCTGTTCATTATTGTCCTTTCATTTTAAAGGCTAAGCTTTTTGTTAGTATTCAGTATGGAGAGTTATGTGTTAAATAATTCAGCCATTCTTTAAAATAAGATTTATCTTAGAAGAACAGAGCTCAGCAGCTGCCCTTCTTCCTTCCCCGGAAAAATCCTAAACCCACACAACTGGACTTTAGTCCTCATCCAAAATAAGAGCACGGAGAAGTTCCAAACAGAAATCAGCCTGAGCCAATGCAAAAACATCAGAGCTCAGGAGGCAAAAAGATGGAATAGAAGAGAATAAATTCTGATACAAGCTTTCCACACATGCTCAAAAACTATCCTTAGGCATTCCTAACTGATGGCCAGCGAGCCTTCTTTCAGGTGTCTAAAGAAAATAATTCCTACACCCTTTCCCCAAGCAAGGGAAAATAATAGTTCTAGCCAGCAAAAAAGTCAGTTATTAGAAGACTGCTAGCATACAAATTAGGCAGCCTGAGATATCTAGCAAAGGTATGATTTACAAGGCAGATAACAAAAGTAATTTCACTGATGAGTGGGCATAGGTCATAGAGTCGATTCTGCCATCAGAAGATAAGAGGCCATTTTTGAGATTTCCATTAAAAACACACAGGTTGGCAAATTGCAAGTGTTCTAAAATGAATGTAAGAAGTTGTTCGCCATTTTGAAGTAACCTTTTAGAAAAAAGGATTGAAAGCTTCCCGTCTTTACACAAGCATTCAGAATCTGTGAATAAGGTGTCTGGCTTTTACCTGCAAACTAATTCACTCATTGTCTGGGGCATGATCACAGGGCGACGTACCTGTCCATGAAGTTTCCTCCTGGCCTGTTTCACTCCTCCTAATTAGCACTTAGCTTCGGTCCCTGCTCTGCCAACCTGTTACATGTAGAGGGATCAGAAAGCTGATCAGATGGAATGGAGCTGACTTAGCCATATGGGAATTATATTGGTAGAATCTTAAATGGATAGAAAACGATGCAGGGAAAAGAAGCGTTAGGGGGAAGCGACATAAAAGGGAAATCAAAAGGAATGTGGGAAACGGGCTACTGGATAGAGGATGCATGAAAAGGGGAAGAGGAAAGGAAAAGAGAACAAAGGGAAGAAGAGAAACAATAGTAAGAAAACATTGTCTTATATTTGTCTCTCACCATGGAGTTGTTAGAGAATGGTAGGTTAATGCAGGGGATGCACAGGGGGGCACTAGGAACCACACATCACATCAGATCACCTACAAAGCATTCTTAAATTATAAACGAGGCAGAACCCTCCATCGCTTCCACTAAACATGCTCTTCTCATGATCGGTGAAAGCTTTCAGTCTCTGGAAAGGGAGGAAGGACGAAGAAGAAGGGAGGCCTCAGTCATTCCCTTTCAATTGTCATTGTGAAATTAAAGCACTTGTATACCCTGGGCAATAACCAAAATAAGTCAGTAAGTAACTGGTGAATTTGGAACAATAATGCTCAGTTAGTGTGACCTTGCAAAAGAAACTAACCTGCACAGGCAGAAAACAATCTCCTTACTGCTTAACATTGTTTCTACCATCACTAGTCACAGTGCAAAACAAATTCTGCTTCAGTACAAGAACATTCCTATCAAAACTCATATTATGAATAGGTCAGGTTGGATGGGGCTTTGAGCAACCTGATCTATGAAAGCTGTCCCTGTCCACGGCAGGGGGGTTGGAACTAGATGATCTTTCAGGTCCCTTCCAACCTAAACCATTCTATGATTCTATGAATAGCAAGACTACCTGAAGAAAATGAACCCTATTATATCTAACCAAACCCTTAGATTTGGTAGGAAAACTTTTTCACAAATCCCTTTTCATTAAAGCACGCCAATTTCTCAAAACTGAACTAATTCACAGGCACTTGCTGCCAAATCTCTTCAAACCCAAGAGAAAAGTGAGAATGCCCAGACCTCTTAGAGGCTAAAAGCATAACTCCTATTCAGAAATCATTCTGGGCATTTTGATTTTTATTACAAGTCAGAATTAAACCAAACTTCAAAACAACAAAATATTCTTTCTCCATCTGTGTCAACTCCCAGTACCAGTGTTGCCTATAGCTCGCAGGAAATACACGAATACACTCAGGTCTAGATGCCTGTGTCTAAGACCAGAGATCAAGAGGAACATCTCTGAATAAAAAGAAAAAAAACCAAACCACAGAAAAGACTTTCAAAGACACTGAACTAATACACTCAACATTCTTTATATTAAATAATTAGTTGACTTTCTGCATTCTGCTTTAACTATTAAAAGTATGGAAAGCGTGGGTATTTTTCCCCTAAAAATTTTCTTGTCTGTAAATGGTCGCATCCTCCTCTGCTGCCACTTTATCCTTCTTCGTGATTTTGCTCCAATTCCTGTCTACTTTTGTTTTCTTCTACTCAAAATGCACAAGAGACTTCAGGAGCTCCCAAAAGATCTTCTTAAATTTCCCTGATCTTCTAAAACTCAGCATCATTTCTGTCTGTCTCTTTTCTGCAAGATCAAATATGTCAATAAAAATGGCTCTTAAGAATTGTTTTCTTCTGGAGATGCCACCATCTCTTCACGTCAGACAAACTGTTTTTATAAAAATCTTTAACTCTCACGATGACCAAAATTCAGGCCCCTACCCTGATGAACAATAGGTATCTTTCTCTGTGAAAAAGATGCAATACATCACCCATATAACTGCAACTATAATACAAAAAGAAAAACTATGTCAGTTGGTACTCTCAAGGTATCATTTATGCATTGTTATACTCTGTTGCCCTTGTATTGTTGCTGATTAGTTTATGCCTCCTGTACCACATAAAATAAAAAAGCAGCATCAGCGATCTATATCAGCTTCACCCTTTTCCATTAATTAGCTTTAAAACTTATTTCCCAATTAGTAAGTCTACAATAATTTCTTTTGCTCTAAGTATATTATTTATATTTTCTCAACTACAAAAGCCATTGAGAAAACTGCACATTCTTTAATCTAGGAAAATCAATTTAATAACAGATGCAACAAACTTCTGTTCCATAAATCCTGAAATAATACTCAAATTTGAACATTAAATTAGACTAAACAAATATATCCCATATTTTAAAGATGTAAAACCTCTATAAGCATTTATGCGAAAAAATGAGTTTTTTGCTTGGTTATAAATGTCTCAGTATGCTAAATCAGAAATCACAAGTTCTAGAAACACAAAACATATCAGATGTTAATTTCCTGTAACAATAGCAGAGACACATTCTTCAGTAATTTCATTTAAAGTAGAAAAGGTAATTTCAAATTTAGCTGTAGTAACTCCACATAGCTTAACCTCTAATATTCAGGAAAGTAGTTCTGAGAAGCCTTTACAGTTGCTTTAGATTTTAATAGTATTCTAAGACATCGTCATTACTTCTTATGAATTTTCTTTACCCTAGTAGTTTTGCTTTGAATTTTAAATAGCTATATATTTAAAATAAAGAAAAATAAAATAAAATAAAATAAAATAAAGTATATAGTCTGATTTCTTAGTTATTTTGTGGTTAGCTGATGTAGAACTTGCAATAGAGAAGAGAGGTTAATCTTATTTCCTGATGGGAGTGTCATCACCCTTGCTAAAATCTACAATATAGGAAGTAGACTAGAAAAAATTGTTTTATCTGGAAAACTAAATACAAATGTTTTCTGTAAGTAACTGTAAGGGTAGAAATATCTGTCAAATTTGAAATCATCAAAAACAATTCCTTGTTTTACAAGCTAAGAAAAAAGTCAACATTGATGATGTCACAGTCACTATCTATGCAAACATATAATACACACTGCAGCGTATCCATTGCATCAGAGTCAACAGGAACAGTAGCAGGATGGACGAGACCATGCTACTAACTTCCTTTAAAGCCACCCTTCCTGCTCGAGAACCATTTATATTATTTTTTCTGCTTGTATGCAGTTCTTCTGGTGACTTATCCCCACCCCAGTCATATACCATTATACTGGCAGACGTGGCTCGAGACTATATCATGCTTCAATTGCACTAAAACAACATAAGTCACAAACTTTACTCAAATTTTAGTGTGTGAACGTCCTTGATAAAGAAAAATAATCCCAGAGCTTTAATCAATGGCTGAAAGATTCAAAGAACTCATACAGTCAGGAAAAAATCTTTCCTTATTTAGCAGCACGTCATAGCGCACACACAAAAAAAAAACATGAGCCGATTCCTGAAAATGACCCCCAGAGATTAATCCAAAGTCACACATACTACAAATTAGATGGCAACTAGTTGAATTTCAGTAGTCTAAGGAACTGGAAAAATCAGAACCAACGTTGCAAAGTAAACCTGACTGAAACAAAAATTAGGTAGTAGATGGGAGGATGAGTGTGGAGGGAGGGTGAGAATTTCATTTGAGAGTGAAGGGAGAAAAATCCGGTTTTATGCTACTTACTCCTGTAGGCTGAAATATAAGTCCATCCACTTCGTGGCTAACTTCTCTAGCAAAGCTTCCTTCCAGGAGCTGTAAAAACAAAAGGAAAATAAATCTTTTTTCCACAGAGAAATGTTTCATTTAGAAAACTGCACATCAAAGCAGATTATACGCTACTACTGCAATCATTTGCTAGTAAACTACTTACTTACGGTTTAACATTAGAGCTTGGGAAATGTCAACATAGAAAGCTTCAACAAATTAGCAGTTTTTACAAAAACACTCAAGGCTCAAACAAGTTCCAGGGAGGAAAACCCTTACAGCATCATTCAAGGAAAAAGCCTTTGTCCAAAAAGAAATACTGAGATACCACGATGATTCCGTACACTAGAAGATGAAGAAAAATCAGTTCTGATATAGGACTCCACAGTCATTTGTGCAGAAATTAAAAAATGCATTTGCCACTTTAACGCGCAAGTTGCACTTCAGATTGAAAATATGTACTGAAAAATGTTTCAGGGCGTCATTCAAAATTCATGTTTGGCAGACTCCCTAACTAGGGCATAACCCAGTAACACAGCTACACTACTGTAAAACAACCGTCTGAATTAATGTGGATCTCGAATATTCTGTTTTACATTTTCAAAGACTGTGAATTCCATATGGAGGTGAATATATCCATCAAGATGGTATTTACCAGAGAAAAACCATCTAACTAAAACTAATGAAACCAGCTAGTTGACAGTTACAAGAACTGATGACACACTTCCACGTTAAATTATGACTTGCCTAAGGAAAAGCAAATACCCAGTGAGAACTACAACTGTCAAGTAATAGCAAAAACTAGGAGAATTACCAAAATGACTCTTTATTAATTGCAATTTATGTTTTACTGTAGAGATGAAGACTCTGTCCTGATATTGTTGGTGCTTTTAGTAACATTTGAAAAATGTTTATGTATAAGTAATCCCATGGTCATGAAACATAGCAAATACAGAACTTGGTAATCAGTCAGTTTTAAAAACAACATTTTGGCCTAGACTGTTATTTTGGTGTCATTTCCTTTGTATAGTCCAACTTAACTCAATGACCCACTGACTAAATTTTTCACATCAAGTATCAAACTCTGCCCTCAGTAAACAGCAAAAGGACAAAGAGTTGAGAATTAACATTTGTATCTTCCTATGGGCTGTACAACTCAAAGCAATGCACTTAAAATGGATTAAAAGCCCGATGGCCGAGTATTTTAAACAATAATAATATAACATGACAGTTCATTTAAACCTGTAGCTGTTTGCACACAGTAATTGATCATTTTCCTATAGAAAATCCTAGCTTTTTTCCTTACCCACATAGTCATTAGCATATTTGCGCTTATAGCTGCATCTAGAAATACAGCTTTCACTGTTCAACTTGTAGATACAATTTAACTGAAAAACACAGTCCAGGAGAGTACTCTCAAGTGGTAAAATACTTTAAGAATATTTGATTCTGAGTAAGAAATCACCCAGTGAAACAGTATTTTTCAGTATAGAAAGCTCATGCTTGGAACGTGAAGTTGTAGCTTGCATTTACCTATTATCATTTTGAAATTTACAACTGAGGCACACGATCCTTTACCAGCTGTCTATACAAAAAGAAAAAAAAAAAAAAAAGCTGCAATTCTTTTAGAAGTTCATTGTTAATCTTTGCTTCAGCAGAGAAATGAGTTGGAAATTATTTAAACAAATGTTAAAAAGTTTTAATTTTTTTTTTTTTTTCATTTCTACACCAGCTAAGCCTTCTGCAGATCCCTTGCAAGGTTAGTGCACAGTTCCAAAACTGACAGGCCAGTGAGAAATTTGTAATAAGAATACAGTTGACATTTACAAAAACACATGGAAAGGATTTCATGAAATTCAAGTACCAAAAAAACCTTTCTTCGAATACAAAAACCTGCACCTTTAAAAATAAAAGACAAACTTCAAATTAGCCGAGAGTATACTTTTTATACACTTCTAGCTATCTTATTAAAAGGTACTAACCAAACTGGCAAACAAAAACCAATCATGTCTGTTTCTGCTTATCTGAAGTTCTTAAGGGAATTTTAGGACATGGCTAATTCGTGTTGGAGCTTACATAAACTGCATTATTTACTGTTTCCCAAAATAAAACTTAAGAATACAGAAACAATCTTTTAATTTAGAGTGCGTGACTCACTCAGCTAAAGCATAAAATTATTATCATGCACTCTTTTACCTGTAGTTCTCTCCACTCTGGTGTACATGTAGTTAAACTACATTACAGCACCATTACAACTTCATAAATGGGTAGAAAATCAAAATTCACCATTTAAAAAAAAAAATATATTCCAGTACTACTTTCTATTCACTGTTCCACCAGAATTATAAAATGCAAGGGAATCCCTTTTGGCAACCTGACATGCAGTTTCGGACTTGAACTCGTTCTCATTTTGGGGGTCCACAGTATTCTTATTAAGACATCTGCTACAAAATGTCAATTAGATACCAAAGACAAAAGTATTTTAAAACCAGAACAAGACTCAACAGCTAACTAAACCTCTTTGTGCTCCGAGTTATTCTGCTTTCATTCTCAGTTACTGTGCATAACTGAGACATTGTAAGGTCCATTACAAGTATTTCAATTAGAACATTCTAGAAAAAAAATTTACTAGAACGGATTAGCAATTTGGGGGAGGGGGAGTGAAGTGGGAAGGAGGGAAATGGAAATTTCATCTGAGTTTCATTCATACACACTTTCTTGCGAGTTACACAACATTTAGAGATTGTCTGTGAACAGCAGAATATATAACCATTGAATTTTGCAGAAAGTTTGGAATGACAGGAAAATGAGCAGAAAAGGAATGTTTGACATAAGCAAATATTTTTGACGCTAAAAATATAATTGATATAAGGTTTTTAGGTTTATGAACTTAAAATGCAAATATCATGGCTCATCTTTTAAAAACTGTGTTCAATCTTCCACACATATTAAAATTTCTAATTAACTTGAACAGTACGGTCTTTTTTAATCGGCACCATGATAAATGGCACACCTGCTTGACTGGGATGACTGCCAGAGATCAGATAAAATGCAATGCATCTCAATGACATTTTATAAGAGATGGGTAAATGATGCATGCGAGCCAGTTCTTCTAGCATGCTATTCCTTGTAGCCTCCTGGCATCTATTTCCACCTGTGAACCCCTTTGTTCATGTCTTGCAGTTTCCTGCTTCCCCCTTGTTGTTGCAATAAACCATATACTCATACTACAGTTTATTATTCAAAACTTTTCCTTTCTTACTTTATAACTAAATCAAATTAAAAATTCTTGCTACACCTAATACTATTCCTCTAACGAAAAGAATGGTATGATCACGTGGAATGAGTGGAGCTGTAGGAAAAGGAACGGGATTTCTTCTTGCTCTTTAACCACTGAGCTGGGAAGCAGTATGTCACCACAAGCAGCACTAATAACCTGCTGAAGCTGATTCTGCTAAAACGCTGAACCAGTCAGCATTTCTTGAGTGGATAATTGAAAAAAAATCATGCTTTGGAAATCTCTCTAGACTTATCAATAAAGAAATCACTTGGCTCCTCCAGCAGGAAGAGGAGAAAATTTCGGTGCATACAGATTCCAGATAATGCCAGTAGGTTTTTATTAATGTTTCTGTAATCTTGAGGCAAGCCACATGATTCTGACGAGTTTTCAGATGTTACTTTATTCATAAAATAAGTCCAGTAGGTACTACTGTGCCTTTTCCTTCCCCTTACAAAAAAAAAAAAAAACAATCTCATGTAAACACAACATGCTGTGAGAGTTATGTAGATTCCTAAACATAATAATATTTCTGCAAAGTTATATTGACTTTCTACAAAATAATTTGGCTAAGGTCCTTGCCCACAAGTATTATCAATCTGCTACATCACAATATGCAAACATTCCTAACCATTTTGTCCATATTTCTGATTCAAAACTGCTACCACTTGTTAGCCTAGTGAAATACTTGGGAGATATAAAAAAAAACAAAAAAATCCCTTTGCATTTTATAATACAAGACAAATATACGTCCATTTTCCTTGCTTTTTCAATTTCAGAACTGCTATGCGCTTCATTCAATTTCAAGTCAAGCTACAGCAACTCTGCCTGCAACAGTCCCTAAGCAGTTTTTCAGAGCCACCTTCCAATGACTGATCATCTACCTGGTCACTCCACAGCAAAAGCTGCAAAAGGGAACATACTTTACTCGAAAGTATTAGTTACAGATAAACTTCCTATCAAATTGTCAATTAACTAGAATGTAAACCACCTCGAGACATGAGCATACTGTCATTCCTAAACTTCATGGAGCCAGCATCTTCACTGGCTTCAATTTCAGCCCAGCTCACAGGACAATCCCTTCCTCTGCTGAAGACAGCCCTCACCATCAGACTCCAAAGTAATTCTCACATCCCGACATCTGCCGGGTTTTACAGACATGAGCTCATAAATTTCTGTACGGATACTACAGATTCCTTAAACTTATTATACAGTCTTCAGAACAATATTCAGAAGTTACCAACACCAATAACCACCTTTCTAAAAAGGAAACAATTATTCTGGCTCTTTCCTTGGACATCTCTAAAAGAGATGGAATATTCTGCTTTTAAAACAGGATATCACTCCTGCTTTATTTTTACATTAATTTATTTCATCTTGCCTGCCAGTTTCTGTATTTTTCTGTTTTGACACGACAA